GGCACACATGCGTCTGACTTTAGCGAGTTCTCCGTCACTGATCCCGTGAACCTCCGCCCCATAATTAACTCCCGCAAGAGGTCCCGCAGTGCAGAGCTTGGTAGCCCTCGGTCCTAGAACTCCTCTTTGGCGAGCCAGCCTGCCAGCACGCCTAGAGGCTCTCGCAAAGCGCGTCTTCGCTCTGCCGTTGCGCCCACGGACTCGCCTGGCGCAGCCCGCAGTGTCATCTATCCCCAAATTGACGAAAGACTCAGTAAAAAAAACTCCTCCAAGCCCCCCAAGTCGTTTCTGGACGTGCCTGGCGATTTCCTTGGAGGACGCGACCAACCCGACCTTGTCGGGGGAGACTTTCGCAAAAAAGAACCTTCTCAATGATCTCCTCTAGGGACTTAGCCGCTTTCGGGAGTTCTATCATAATGCGTCTGGTGGCCCCTATCGCATTGGTCCCGAGGTCATCGGTGTAAGCGTCGAACGTGATCCCCCTGGGAACCTCCAGCTGGTCGAATCCACGCAAGGCAAAAATCCTGATCATAGTGGTAGCACAACTGCAGCCAGCTATGATTCCAACTCTCGCGTAAGTACGAGGCGCAGCCACTCCAGCAAGCACCAGGAAGCGGGCAGAACGGCATCCCGCCATGCACACGCCGGTGAGTGCATCAGGGAGGCCGTGCTGCCTGCATCGAAGAGCCAGAAGATCGAGAGGGATGCGCTCGTAATATTTAACAGAATCCCAGAGGAGAGTACAGGCTTCCTGCCCGCAGGCACGCGAAGCCTCGGAACGGGCACTTTGCCTCCAAACAACATCGCAAGCGGACTTGAATTTTCCCGCCGCCCAGTACTCTCTCTGGTGTTTCCCTTCCCACTCAACCGCATAATCTCTCCTGCATTTCCCCCGTAATCTGCGCAGGCTGGGGAAGACCCCGATGGGGCGGAAACCAGTGGAGGGCTTCGGCAGCATAGCAATGATCACGGCCTCCAGCTGCGGGGGAAGGGCGCCCGTGAGTTCCATCAACGTAAAGAACCGAGAGAGGGCCCACAAAGCCCCGTCGGACAGCACCGAAAAGTGTCTCAAATGAAACCCATCCAGGCCCGTGGCAGACCTATGGGCAAAAGTGCGAGAAACCTTGCGAATAATGTCCACCGTGATAGGGGGGAGGGGAGCATTAACTTTCCCTGGCCTTTTCTGAGGTACAGGGAGCCCTTCCCACAAATGGCGAAAACGATGAGCTTCGGCGGCCAGGAGCGCCTGCGGGTCCGACACCACGCAGCCCCCAGCACTAAGTGCAGTGGGTGGAGACCATCCTTGGATCTTTCGTGTAGCCGTGCGCCCTACGTCCACCCTGATCGACATTCTCGGTGAGCCAGTCCGCCCAGTCGCGTCTGGCCTTGGTGGCGTAGAAGGCGCTACATTGTGATACAAAGTCGGTAACCTGGGTAGAGACCTCTTCGACTTGGGCTGTCAAAACCTCCAGAGCCTCCAAGAAGCTAGGATCAGAGCCCGACCCTTCATGAGGGTCCTCCAAAACCTTGAGGTCCAAAATCACCGAGGAAACACGATCGTAAATAGCTTCGATCCCAGGGAACAAGTTGTCGGGCTTACACAAGCTTGGGGGGGGAGACGAAAGAACGCACCCCACATCCCGAGCCTGAGGCCAGTCCCCTCTCTGCACACACATAAACAGACGTTTGAACTTCGAGGCGAGCCAGCGGCAGGCGTGGAGCTGGGGGTACCGCACACACCCATGATCTTTACTAAGGATCGGCCGCCAATGGGTCCTGGGCCCCATGCCCCTAGACCCCAAGACAGGAAGTTGAACCCCGAAAGTCCTGGAAAGTTCCTGTTCAGCAAGTCCCGCCCAAGACGCGTAAGCTTCACGAAATAGGCGAGCAGTCATAACCCCATCGTCCCCTCTCTTGGCTCGAATGAACGCTGCATCCAGCTGGGCGTGCACGCGCTTAAAGTCCATCGGCTCGGGCTGTGGTCCGAAGGGTACTTCCGATGGGAGAGGTGGCGGGCGCCTGAACGCGAGGTAGTGCATCTGAGCTAGTCCAGCGTGGAACTCGAGACAGACTGGGCTGTGCGGAAAGAAACCAGCGTCCTCGATAATACGGACTTCAGCGGCTCCCTTGGAAAGCCCAGAAGACACAACGAAGTAGTCGTAGACTTTGCCCGCTCCAGCGTGACAGGTAGGCTTGCTGGGGTCGATGACTTGACCAACCAGGGTGCTCACGAAAAAGGACTTGGCGAGTTCGGATGGCTCCATGTTCCAGTCTCCCCCGACAAGAAATGGTTTCCCGCAGGTGGACCCTTCCGCCCCTATCGCCGACAGTATCTCGAGGTTAGATTCCGAAAGCCCTTCCGAGTCACGCATATACACAGAACAAACTTGAAACACGTCCCCTTGGGGCGCATGCACTAGGGCCGTGATGGCCCTGTGGGGGGCCAGCTCGAGCCCCGAGGGCGCCCTATGAAGCCCAAGGTTGGCGCTACACAGGATCGAGACTCCCGCAGAAGGGCCGCCTTCGGGCCCAGTCGTGCCAGGGATCCAAAGCGATTTGAAACCGAGGCCAAGACAAACAGAGGAAGCTCTATCCAACGCCTCCTGCGTCAAAAGCTTGTGTTCTTGGACTAGAATAACTTCAGCATCGATACTAGGGAGCCACTCCTTCACCGACCCCCAGGCGTTACCGTTAACCGACACGGCCCTCAGACGGAACGACTGGTGGCCTGGGGGTGGCGGGGGCAAAAAGGGACCTCCAAAAACGGTGCCAGAGTGCCCTGGTTCCGAGGAGGCAGCATCCCTAGCTCGCGCGTTGGGACTAGTATTTCGAGGCAAAACAGGAATAAGTTGGGCACGATGAGGAGGGGCCCTGACAGCCTGCACGCGCTGTCGACCCCCCTCCGAAAACACTGAACTGGAACGCCTGTCAGGGGTTGCAGGCAAAGAAAAGTAGAACCCCCCCCCCCTTCAGGCCTGCTGACCGTCAGGGGGGCTAAGATTTTGCTGCTCACTGGGCCGCTCGCTTGAGCCGCTGCCCTCAGAAGTCGCCTGCTGCTTCTGAACACGCTCCGCAACACGTGCTGCATGTTCTCGAACTCGGCTGACTGAGGCGGCTGGCTGGCCGACGTCGCTGGCCGCGGCGCCGCCGCTGCCAGAGGCACCGCCAGGGTGCGACCCAGCTTCTTCAGCGCCTCCTTCACGAACTCCGCCCCCAGCCGACACGGCTCCGTCGCAGCCCTTCCTGCGCTTTGTGGCCATGCGCTTGAGGTAACCGTCGTGCTCGGCCTTGGCGACTGCCGCGCGCTCCATTGCTTCGGCGAATAGGGCCTTGGCTGCCTTGCCGATGTGCTCCTTGAAGTCGGCCCGACGTCGCTCCACCTCTTGAAGATCCGAAGCCTCCATGCCCTCAGCGTCGACCGAGAAGAGGCCCCCGTCGTCGATGACGATGTTGGAGACCCTCCCGTCCACGAGGTCGCGGAGTGACAAAGTGGGCCCAGACGCGACCTCTGCGTCGGCCGAGGAAGGAACCACTGCACTGTGAAGCTGTGCAACCAGTTGCCGATGTTCTGTGACCATGGCCTCGGACTGCTTCGAAAGGTCGTGAATGAGCACCTCTTGCGCCCTGATGCCGTCCTGCCACCTCGCAAGTTTCGCCAGCTCGGACTCCAGCCTGCCGTCGAGCTTCTTGATGCGGTGGTGCAGGTCGCCGACTTGGTCCTGCAGGGCCTTGGGCGGGGGCTTCGCGGCTGCCGCCATGGAGTCCAGCTGGCCTTGGTACCTGGCCGCGGTCGTCTGGTCACCTGCGCGGCGCGCCAGGGCGACCAGCATCTGGAGCTCCTTTGCGTCCAGCGGGGCGTCCTGTCCACGGCCACTGCTGCCCGTGCCCTGCGCCGCTCCTCCAAGCTGAGGTCCAGGCGGGAGGGCAGCCCACTCTCCTGGGGGGTGATACCCAGGAGCACGAGGAAGACCCTGCTGATGAGACCAAACGCCGCGAGGAGGAGCAGGCTGGCTGGTCGAAGGGGCTTGCCTCGGCGCACCGCAGTGCTTGCAGTGCGACGCCCAGACAGTGGTCTTGCCGCGCCCGCATGCAACGCATTTCCAGCAGTCGCTCCTGTCAGACGCGCCGTATCCTTTGCCAGCCAGCCACTGGGCGCCTCCGTAGTCGTAGTTGTTCCAGTCCTGCCGCTGCCAGCCCTTTGAGCTGCCGCCGCGCCAAGGGGGAGAGCCTCCTCCGCCGCCGCCGCCGCCCTTGTAAGGGCCATGGGACATCAGTCTGACAGCCCTTTGAGATCCCTTGCCCTGCCGCGCCAAGGGGGAGAGCCTCCTCCGCCGCCGCCGCCGCCCTTGTAAGGGCCATGGGACATCAGTCTGACTGGAAAGATGGAAGTGAAAAGATAGAAGCCAAACTTTGACCCGCGGATCCCTTGCCGTTCTGAAGAGAGGACCCGCAAGCGCTCAAGAAAGGGAGGAGGAGGAGGAGGAGGGAGGAAGAAGAAGAAGAAGAAGAATAATAATAAGAAAAGAAGAGAGAGGAGGAGGAGGAGGAGGAGGAGAGGAGGAGGAGGAGGAGGAGGAGGAGGAGGAGGGAGGAGGAGGAGGAGGATGAGGAAGGGGGCAATCGTGCATCGCAGGTTTACCTCCGGAGGCCACGAGCGAAGGTCTCGAGCTCCTTGGGGGCCCAGTGCTTCGGAAGCCTTCGGAGGCTCCCGGAGGCTTAGGGAGGCCCAAGCCTTGGCCTCCAGCCACAAGCCCTCGAACCTCCTGAAGAGACGACGACGACGATGACGACGACGGGGACGGGGACGGGGACGAGGACGACGACGACGAGGACGAGGACGAGGACGGGGACGGGGACGAGGACGACGCCGACGACGCCGACGACGCCGACGACGACGACGACGGCGACGACGACGACGCCGACGTCGCCGTCGACGACGCCCACACCGATGACGTCGCTCCCCGCGTGGCGCGCGGCTCGCGGCTTCTTGGCGCCCCCAGATGCTCGAGGCGAAGGACGACGCTTTCATACCGTGCCTCCGGGGCGGGGTGGGGGACGAGGGAGGCCGGTGCCCACGGAAGCGGGCGCCTGGAGCATGCAAGAGTCCAGCCATCAGGAGCTAGAGGTAAGTCGGGCCTGGCCCTCTACAGGGGGAATCTTCAAAGATAGTCCAGCAAGAATAGTCTGGGGATGATTTGTTTTAACCGTTTTTGAGCATTCGTAGGCATTTTTTGACTATTCTTGATTTTTCGTCCAAGATCCGCCTGTGGGGGGACACGCCCGATATAGAGCGAGAGCGAAGCCCCTGTCTGGCCGCAGCTGCGCCCAGATGGGCGGAGGGCGCCAACAAAGCAGCAAGTATGAAGTGATGGGCTTGTTTTCCACCACCACCTTCATCATAAGTTGAAGGGGGGAAGGAGGAGGAGGAGGACGAGGAGGAGTTGGAGGAGGAGGAGGAGGAGGAGGAGGAGGAGGGGGACGAGGAGAATGGAGGAGTAGGAGGAGGAGGACCTCCTCCCCCTCCAACTTACGGTGGTGGTGGTGGTGGTGGTGGTGGTGGTGGTGGAAGACAGGCCTATCATGAAGACCCGGGGACGCCCGAGCAGCAGCGCGCTGGAAGGCCCAGGCCGCCTGCGGTCCGAGTCGGTGCGCTTCCAGTCGCGTCGAGGGGCCAGGGTGATGGGCCCATTTTCCACCACCAGTACCACAGGTTGGAGAGGGAGGAGGAGGAGGAGGAGGAGGAGGAGGAGGAGGAGGAGGAGGAGGAGGAGGAGGAGGAGAAGTAGGACGAGGATGAGGAGGACCTCCCCATCCTCCCTCCTTCCCCGTCCTACATAGGGTGGTGGCAGTGGAAGGTTTGCCCATCACAGGGGGCCGATCCGACTCGAGCAAGTCAGACCCACTGGCATCATCGGCCAGGGCCAGCCAGAGCCGCCCGCGGCGATTCGACGTCGATTCGATGCGGGGCGATCCGCTGGCGGTTCGATCTGTGTCCGATCTTCTGGTCTGATTCGAAGAAGAAGAAGAAGCAGAAGAAGAAGAAACGCCATAAACATACATTTGTGGCGCTCGGCGCGGATTTCTTGGATGCGCGCTGGGGCCCCCTGGCGGCGCTTCTGGGGCCACCCCTGGCGCGCTCCGCGCGCCAGGGAGAGGGGTCCCGCGCGGATCCAAGCGATCTGCGCGTGCCGGCGAAAGTTTCTGTTTGTGAAGTTTCTCTCAGGAGGTGAAAAGAAACACAGACACAATTAATCGTCGATCCCCAGGAACATATGGGAACATCTGGGAAGTGGGGGGGAAGACGAAAACCCAGAACATATGAGAACATATGAGGAATCCTTTTATTTGTGTGTATTTATTTGTGTGTCCCAGGGCCCCTTCATTCTCATTCCTCTACAGATCTGATCTCAATCTCGCGAGTCGATCCAGTTCATGCCTGAGGGCGGCAGGGACGTTCAGCTACGCGCGGAGGGGGGTGGGGGGAGGGGGGAGGAATTCCTTTGAAGCTCCCTTGCTTCTCAGAAGGCGCTGTCCTTCTCTATATAGTCTATACATGTAACGCCGGCGCCTTCGCGCAGCCCGAGCTGGCGCAGGGACGAAGGCAGGGGGGCACCCCCTCTCCTGCGCCGCTCCGGGTCGACGTTCGGATGCCCAGGGCCCGGCACCGGCACCAGCACTGACTGGCGGTGGCCTCCGCCGAGGGGAGGATGATCTCAGGGAGCGTAATGGGCCAATTCTCCACCGCCACTACCACATGTAGGACGGGGGAGGAGGGAGGATGGGGAGGTCCTCCTCCTCTCCTCCTCCTCCTCCTCCTCCTCCTTCTCCTCCTCCTCCTCCTCCTCCTCCTCCTCCTCCTCCTCCCTCTCCTAACTGTGGTAGCGGTGGTGGAACATCGGCCCATCAGAACAGATCATTACATGAGACCAGGAATTAATTTTCGGAAGTCCGCGCGGATTTCTCGGATCGGCGCTGGAGCCCCCCTGGCGGCGCCTCCAGCGCCGCCTCGGGCGCGTTCCGCGCGCCAGGGAGGGCGCTACAGCGCCGACCCAAGAGATCAGCGCGGACCTTCGAAAGTTTGTGTTCATGCCATTATTCGTTCCTCGATGATCCTGATCTTGGAGCCAGCAGGGGTGCTGAGGTGGCCCAGCGCTGTTTCTGGCCAGCCGACATGTGGAAGAAATGGCCGCCCTCGTCGCCACGGCTGGACACGGCTCGAAGAATTGGTCGATTTCGCCCCATGGAGGGGTCTGGGGACAGATATGGAGCGAATTTGCCCTCATCCCGACTTCTTGATTGACTTTCTCCGTGCTTATCCAGCTCAGGTCCCCCGTCGCCCTCAAGCCTCCACCGAGAGACCATGATCCTGATCTCGGTCATTGTGGTCGATTGCGGGCTTCTTGAGTGGGCGAGAGCTTACCGCCAGCACCAACGTTCGGGCCACACGAAAAGGTAGGATAAAGAAAGGGGAGGGTTATTAAGCCTGCAGCATGCAGCTGGTTTCCCGTCCCGCCGATGGGCCCATTCCTCGATACTTGGGCGCCTCCTGGCGCCAGGAAGTCCCAGGAAAGCCGGCTAAGTGAGCTGATCCTCTATCCTACCCTTTGCTAGCCTACCTGTTCGCCCCCTCCCCTCCGAAACATCTAGGATCCCCTCCGAAACATCTAGGATCCCCTTCGAGACATCTAGGATCCCCCCCTACCTTTTCGCCCCCTCCCTTTTGCTCCCCCCCCCCCCGAAACATCCAGGATCCCCTTCCCCCTGTGGGGGCACCCTCGCCGTGCTGGTGTTTATGCCCATCTGCAGGCCCCAAAGACTCCTGAGCGGCCGAGCAGCCTTCGGGGAGGTGCCGAGGAGAATACGCCGCCGGCGGGGCCGAGAGCTCCGTCGACGCCGCTCTGCAATCTCGCCGGCAAGAGGAGGAGGAGGAGGAGGAAGAGGAGGAGGAGGAGGAGCAGGAGGAGGAGGAGGAGGGAGGAGGGAGGAGGGAGGAGGGAGGGAGGAGGGAGGAGGGAGGAGGGAGGAGGGAGGAGGGAGGAGGGAGGAGGGAGGAGGAGGAGGGGGAGGAGGGGGAGGAGGAGGAGGAGGAGCAGGAGGAGGAGGAGGAGGAGGAGGAGGAGTCCGCCCTCGGCATCCGAAGAGGCTCGTGGCAGACCCAGGGGCCGTCAGTTAATCGGCCCGGGTGAGAAGCTGGAGAGGTCCGGGGATCTCGCACTCATGAAGCACGACAACAGACCACCAGAGGTCTGGGGAGGATGAGCAGGGGGAAGGATGAGGGGGAGGGAGGAAGGGGAGGAGGAGCGGGTCGCAGAGAAGGGGGAAGAGGAGGAGGGGGGAGAAGGGGATGATGATGATGATGATGATGATGATGATGCTGATGATGATGATGATGATGCTGATGATGGTTGTGGTGATGATGATGACGACGATGATGATGGTGATGGTGATGATGGTGATGATGATGGTGATGGTGATGGTGACGATGCTGATGATGATAATGATGATGATGCTGATGATGATGATAATGATGGTGATGCTGATGATGCTGATGGTGATGATGATGGTGATGGTGATGGTGATGGTCATGTTGATACTGCTGATGAGGTTATGATTATGATGATGTTGACGATGATGATGATAATGCTGCTGATGATGTTGATAATGCTGATGCTGACGATGCTGCTGATGATGATAATGAGGATACTGATGATGATGCTGATGATGATGATGTTGATGATGTTGAGTATACTGATGATGATGTCGATGACGATGCTGCTGATAATGATGATGATGCTGATGATGATGTTGTTGTTGAAGATGATGATGCTGATGATGATGATGAAGATGATGATGATGATGCTGATGATAACGATTATGCTGATGGTGATGCTGATGCTGTTCTGATGATCATGATGATGCTGATGATGATGATGATGATGATGATGGCGATGATGATGATGATGCTGCTGCTGCTCTGATGATGATGATGATGATGATGCTGATGATGATGATGATGATGATGATGATGATGATGATGATGATGATCAGGAGTAGTAGGAGGAGGAGGATAACTAGTGTAAACCCTCGACACACCAACGATGTTGCAGTAAACCCTCTCAGCGGCGCCTACTTTCAAGGAATTATTGAATCGCTTCGCTCATTCCGCCGGCCCGTGATATGGCATCGCTGGTTTTTGTCTGTGTGTTCGTTGCCCATGTTGCGCTCTTGGGGGCGGGTGTCGTTCGGACGCGTTGCGTGGGGAGTTTTGATGGTGAAGCAGTTCCCTGGGGGTCGTCTCTCGATGGGGCGAAATAGAGTCGTCGTCAAGATGCTTCTTTGGGGGGCCTCTTGGGGTCTGTTGAGAGGCCGTTCGGGGGCGCCTGGGAGACATGTTTGAAGCCTTCTGGGGCTTCTTTTGGGCCTCCTGGGAGTCTCCTGGGGCCTCTTGGCGACATCTTGGGGCCTCTTGGAGGCCTCTTGGGGCCTCTTTGGGACCTCCTGGGCGCCTTCTGGGACGGAGGGCTCCATTTTTGAGTTCTCGGTATCCCTCCTGAGTCCCTCTTGGGCCCGTCTTGGGGCCTCTTGGTCCGTCTTGGGCGGCACTTGGGCCGTCTTGAGGGCTCTCTTGGGTCGTTTCGGCGCCGTCTTGGGAGCTTCGTGGGCCGTCTTGGAGCGGTCTTGGGGGCCTCTTGGGCCGTCTTGGAGCGTCCGGAAGCCGAAAAAGCCAGAACACAAAAAACATCGAAAAAACCAATGAAAATCAACGATTTTGGCCTCTTGGGGCTCTCTTCGGAGGCCTCTTGGAAGGCTCTTGGGGCGTCTTGGAGGCCTCTTGGGCTGTCTTGGGGGCCTTTTGGGCCGTCTTGGGGTCAGGCGTCTTCGAGCGGGGCGGGGGCCTCTTGGGCAGGCCTCTTGGGGCAGCTCTTGCCGGAAGGCCTTTGGGCCGTCTTTAGGGGGATCTTCGGAGGCCTCTTGGAAGGCTCTTGGGGCGTCTTGGAGGCCTCTTGGGCTGTCTTGGGGGTTGGGCCGTCTTGGGGTCATCTTCGGCGTCTTCGAGCGCTCTTTGGGCGTCTCGGGGGCCTCTTGGGCAGTCTTGGGGGCCTCTTGGGGCACTCTGAGCGCGCTCTGGGGAGCCTGAGAGGCCGCACCCAGAAGGAAAACCATCTCTGAGTAGACTTGGTCGGGCGGCGGTCGGGCGGCGGTCGGGCGGCGACCGGGCGTTGGTCGGGGTACTTTTCGCCGGGGGACCCCCAGGGGCCGCCCCGCGCGCGAACTAGAAATACTGCTAATACTGTTAACCAGTTACCGGAGATCTTAGCACGCCCTGGCCCGTTGGGCCGGCGAATTTTCATGTTGAGAAGTGCCCCGTTGGAAAACAATCGTTTGATAATCCTGAACCGTGCCAAAACACCTTTCCTTGGAAATTCTCCGCGGACACGGCCTGGGAATGGCGCGCGTTGGCGTCCCCGTCTCGGGAGCTGCTGGCCTCCCTTTCCTCCCCATCCTCGCTTCTTCCTTTCCCTCTCCTTCCTTGTCCTCCCTCTTCTCTCATCCCTCGTCCTGCTTTCTCCTCCGTCCTCCTCATCCTCCTGATCGTCTCCCCCCCTGTGTTTTCCCGTCTCCCTCATCCCCGCTTCTTCCTCCCCTCATGCCTCTCCCCTCCCAGCTCCTCCGTCCTCATTCCTCCTTCTCCCTCCTTCTCCCTCAACTCTCTACTCCCCATCCTCATCCACCTTCGCTTCCTCCTGCCCCAGTATCCCTCCACCAGCACTCCTCATTCTCCCCACCTTTCCACGCCTCTCACTCGGCCGAGGTACTTCAAGAGTGGCGAAGCGGAGAAGACACCGTTCGAGACTATCCAAGACTTTGCCCAGCAGGCACGGTGTGCAGAGAGCACACGTGCATATACGCTGTGTCTTCATCTTTCTCCCGTTTGTTCGTGCTTCTGGTCTATTTGCCTGTTTGTCTGTCTGCCCCTCTCCCTCCCTCTCTCACTATAGTTGGGCATGCACCATATCTCTCTCTATATGTATATATATATATAGATGATCCGGGGCTCCGGGCCCACGCCCCCCCCCCTCCCTCAGATAGGATGGGTCGCAGGGTCCCTCGGACATCCCACATGGGATGGGGGGGGCGACGACGACGACGACAACGACTGCGACCACGACGACGACGACGACGGCGGAGGTGACGACGACAACGACGGCGACGACGGCGACGGTGACGACGATGGCGACGGCGACGGCGACGACGACGACGACGTCGGCGGCGACGACGACGACGGCGGCGGCGGCGACGACGACTTCCAGAGCTTTTCTGGAGCACCTTAGTACCACGCCACGCACGCCACACCCACAGCACCACACCACATCCACGGGGGCGGGCATCGCGCGGGGGGGGGTCCGATGGCATCAGGAAGGGGGGGGGGCCCAGACCCTGGACCATACATAGATATATCTGTACATGTACATCTATATATGTATGTGGATGCCTGTCGTCCGTACGTCCGCCGGTTGGTCTACCCGTCCAGTGTGTGTTTGTGTGTGTGTGCCCTCTCGTTCTGTCTCTTTCTCTCTATCTCTCTCTTTCTCCCACACTGTCTCTCTCTCTCTCTCGCTCTCTCTTTCCCTCTCTCGCTAGCTTTCTTCTTTTGTTTCTGTCTCTCTCTCTCTCTCTCTCTCCCTCTCTCTCTGTCCCTCTCTGTCAGTACCTTTCCTCCATTTTTGAAGACTTCTAGTCTATTTTGTAAGTTGCTCATAGTTGGTGCCCTCTCTCTCAAACTCTCTACCTCTCACTCTCTACCTCTCTCTCAGGTGCTGAGAGCCATGCAGCGAACGGGCGACATACCCGAGCCCCTGATCCGCATTCCCAGCCCGTGCCTCCCGAAAGGCAAGGGCGAACTCCCCACTGACCAGCGGCTCCTTTCCGTCATGGCTGTCTGGATGTACGCCTTGGAAGCCCCCGCCTACCGCAGCCTCGGCGAGTGGCGGAAAGGCTGGGCCCACGCCACCATTTTCGGCGCCGTCCCGAAAGCGACCATCGGAGACGTCAGCACTTCTTAGGCCCCCCGTGTTGAGCATGCGCGACACCTCGCCCTCCCCCTGGCGGGCGCTGCCCTTGACAACCAGAATTGCTTCGATTACCTTACAACCGACATTTGCCGGTCGCTTGCCCTGCACGCGGGGTGCTCTCCGGATATCGTCCGAGTGCGGCGCAGCTTCCACTGCCGCCGCCAGCGATACGTTCGGATGGGGGGGGGGCCTATTCCCCGTCGTTTCAGCGCACATGCGGCCACCTCCAGGGCAGTTCGTGGTCTCTCGACGACATCAAACTTCTCATGTACCGCCAACGCCGTTACGTCCCAACGCTCCCTCAGTACCACTTCTGTTGTCGACAGCAACTCCACCACTGGCTCCGCGGAGGACTTTCGAGGATCTCTGGACGTCACCACCACCTTCGGCTGTCTCTCGGGTCAGCAGGTGCACCCAAGTAAGGTTGCGGGCTGGGCACTGGGCCAGGACCTTCACGATCAGGTCTCCCAACTCACCCTCAACTAGAAACCCTTCGAACTCCAGGACCACATCGAGCTCGTCGGTAGCCACATTAACGTGAGAGCAGAGCCGTTCGCAGGCTCTGTGAATCTCGCCCGCACCGCCGACGCCCGCGTGAGGCGAGCGTGTCAGCGCCTCCTTCGCAGTGGCCGCCTCCCCATGGGCATGGAGGCCAAAACCCGCCAGGTTCGGTCCTTCGCCGCGAGTGTGTGCACCACGGGTACGGATATTCAGGCCCCGAGCACCAATACCAGCGCGGCTTACAACAAAGGGCTCCTGGCTGATGTCCGCCCCAAGGTCCACAAATGGGTGAGCTTTTGGGCCCTCCTGGCTGTCTGTGCCCTTGCCACGCCGTCGAGCTTGATGCCATCACATCCTGGCGGTCCGACGACAGGTCCGGCATGACCCCGACCTAAACCGCCTGGCCACCGAGCTCAAGGACTACGTCCAGACCGCACATGGTGGAAGCCAATCGGGCGCTTCCTTCAGGTCCTGCGCCAGCTTTCATGAACCTTCCGCGATGACTGGGGGCAGCCGCATCAGCTGGATCCGCGTGCTCTAAGGGGCCCTGCTTCTGATGCTGCGGGCCTCTCAGCGGCGTGCTTTTCCAGCGATCAATCAAGCCTTCGCGCCGCGACCTCGGGTGCTTCCCGAGCGCCATACAGGGCATCGACATGTGCGCCTCTACGTGGCTCGCCCGCACCAGAAGGGCCCTGAAAACCATCGCCTGGCAACTCGGCCTCCTCTACAACTACCTCCCGGGCGGAAACCACACCCAGCAACATTGCGCGCAGGGAAAAATTCCGCCGGTCCCGGCCCCGTTTGCAGATGCTGCGACGCTTACGAGGAAGCCCACGGGCACGCCATCTGGAGCCCCTGCTGGAAACACGAGCGCTGCCCCCTGACCGCGATTTTCTCGGCAGAGTAATGGAACGCCCTCCCGCCGCGCGCGCGGTACTGTGGCCTCATTGACGAAGGCTGCCCTTCTCGACCGTCAGGCTGAGCTCTCCAGGGGCCCGATGCCCCGGCCCATCCGCCAACCTCCAGCCGAAATCCCCGACGGCGACATCTTCGCTACCTGCGCCGACCCCGACGGCAGTCACTAGGTCTATGCGGGCACGGACGGGGCCTGCTCGCACCGAGCCATCCCGCCATTGGCGCGCGCTGCCTTCGGTGACTACTACGGCAGCGGACATCGCCTAAACCACTCTGCCCGCGTGCATGGCCCCACCCAGAGCTCGCAGCGATCCGAGACCTTAGCCGTGCTTCACCTCGTCGCCACGGCCGAGCGGCCTGTCCACATCTTCATCGACAACAAAGCCACCTTGGTGACGAGGGCGTGAACGAAAACCGCATCAGTGCCGCCGCAGAGAAGTTCAATCGCCAAGCCGACCAACTGGCCACCGACGCGGTCGCATTTCACCACCTGCCGTCTCGCCTGAATGAGGATGCGTGGCGTCGCTGTAGCCATCTGCGACAAGCGACACCGCGCTCTCCCGCTCCCTCACTGACGAGCGGGCTACATCAACGCCTGGCTGGACAAGCTTGAGCCAAACCTCACGTTCACCGCGGCGGCCGCCGGCGGCTCCCCGGGGATTCCGACGACCTCTGGGAGGGGGCTCAACGCCTCGCCGACCCCGTCGTCGCCGAAGACGAGGGCCCACTTGGCTTCAGCGGAGGCGTGGGCGACCTCGGCGCCCCCGCCCCCCGCGCCCCGATGCCGCCGGGCCAGCGTCGGCCCACCCCGGCAACCCCCAGTCCTTGGCCCGGAGGCGCCGACCGCAGCTGCGCCCTCCAGCGAGCCTAGCTCCAGCGCGGCATGCCGCTGCTGCTGCTGCTGCCCCGCGCCGCGGTGACGGCCCATGGGGCGTTGGCCGCGGTCGTGCCCGCTGGGGGGCCGGCCCCGCCGCCGCCGCGCCGCGTCGCCGCCGCCGACTCGCGCTGCGGCTCAAATCCCGAAGACGAGGAAGACACGTTCGGCCTCGGGGGCAGCAGGAATGACGAGGACACCGGCTCCCCGTCGCCCCAGGCCACGGTCAACCACGCTCCGGTTACCGCGCCCGACCCCGTGCATCTAAAACGCCAAGATATTGTAGCAACCGTCAATTTCAAGATAGACGTCAAGTATTGTAGTTTAACCCTCCAAGAATTAGTTTAATCTCCAAATATTCGATCGCACTCTAAAAACTACATCCATCGTCGTGTAGCGTACGAATAGTAACACATGGATACACTTGTATGTATATATATATATATATATGAGCACGTATAATTATACTTACGCATACACCACGCGACTCACACGCCATGGGCCCGAGACGGGCGGCGACCCGACTCACGAGCGAGTGGTCCCCTGAGTGTTGGCAGCCCTTCATTTTCGCGGTGCCGTGCAAGGGTCGGCGGAGTTCTGCTACCGATGCATCGGCTGCGAGACCTTGGATTCGCATGTTCTCTTGGGGTTTTTGGTTTGTTCTATCCCCGCGTTGATCTTTGCGGGTTCCTCGTCGAGCCGCGGTGATCGGCTGGCCCCCTCCGATACGTTTGGTCGTGGAAGTCAGAATGTCGGGTCGCTTCAGCTTCCGCGGCCGTTTGGGCCCAAGGATGCCACTGCGTGGAGGCGTCCGACAGCGGTTGGCCGAAGGAGAACCCCCACCTCCCCCAGATCCAATTGACGCGCCCGAGTCCACGTCGCTGAGAACTTTTGCTGGCGGCGGGCGAAAGCGGCGTAGGTCGATTGGTGGATATTTGGAATCCCTATTCTTGGTGGGCCGCCTGTCCGGCTTCGAATTTCAGGAAGGAGCTGCGGCTGTTTCGCGGTCTGGCTCTGATCAGTTATGCGCCGAAATAGCGAAAGCTGGGAATCATGGTGATCATCGGGGGAATTGCCGCAGAGATGTCATGACTAGACTCAACAGATCAGCCGCGCGAAAGCCGACAGTTTATCAGACCAACGTGAAGTTCTGGAATACGGATGCAAACACTCAGATGGAAGACGTGTGTAACTTTATCCTTCCTCACGAGATCGCTGATTACATCGTTCGAGAGAGCCCAGACCCTTCGGTGCATTTTGGATTCGGGGGCAACGTTGCCCTGGAGGCTACGTTCAGAAGGTGGTGTGCGATATATGCTCTAGACCCCAGCGCGTCTTTGGCAATGGGGCTTTGGGGCGATGCTGCTGCTTACCACACTAGAGACAGCCTCTTCGTCGTCATGATGAACGTCGTATCTGGGTCTTCGCATCGAAGGTACTGGGTGGCGAGTTTCGCCAAGCAGTCGGTGTGCCAATGTGGGTGCCAGGGGAGGTGCACCTTCGAGTCAGTATT